AAAAAAAAAAAAAAAAAAAAAAAAAATCCAAAAAATTGCAAGGAAAATACCTTATTATGAACAAAAATAAAACATAACATGATAAAAGTTATGAAATGCAGCTAAAGCATACTTATCTGGAAATTCATATCTTAATGATGCTATTAATTAAAAATATAGATTTTAAATCTAAAAATAATTTTCTACCTGAATCAATTAGACCAAACTAAACTCAAGGCAAGCAGAAAAAGGAAATAAGATTAAAATAGAAATAAAGACAGAAAACAGAAAAGCAATAGAAAAAATCATTGAAACAGAAGTTTACTATTAAAAACATTCAGCAACATTATGAAACTTTTATACTATGAGGGACACGGGGGTGAGGGGTAGAGAGACAGTCACTCAAAATGATAAGTAGGAATGACCTTGAATACAATGTACAATAATGTGCTGAAACAATTCTATTACCCAGCTAAATCAATATCAAGTGCTAGAGATGTTATAATAACTGTTACACACTGCTAATGAGAAACAAGAATCCAAAATGATACAGGCTACCCTGGAAAATGGTTTGTAGGATGTTCCTTACAAAATTAAACAGATGTTTATCGCATGATTCAGAGTCCCAGTCCTAGATGCATGAAAACCTAATGTTTACACAAAAGCTTGTATACATATGCTTAGAGTAGTTCTAAAGACACTTATCAAATACTGGAAATAGCTCAAATACAGTTCAGTGAGTGAATCAGTAAGCAAACTGATACCTTTATGCAGTGGAATACTACTGAGCAATAAAAATCAAATTGCTGATACTTATATCTTAGATCAGACTTAAAAGCTTTGCCCCAAATTAATGAAGCAATTATCATCATGTCACATTATTGAAAAGGCAAAGTTACAGAAATGGATAACAGGTCAGGAAATAACAGGAATTATTAGCAGAAGGGGTGGTATGTGTATGTCTTGAAGTTTGATGCAACTATTCTGTATCTTGATTTTGAAGGTAGCTATCTGAGTCCATACGTGCATTAAGATCTGTAAAGGAAAAAGCAAATTTCAGTAAATTGTCATTTTAATGTAAAACACTATTATAGAATTATATGAGAGGAAGGAAACATCAATAGGTTGATCATGGAACTAAGGAGAAAAGCATTTATTATTTAAACTATATCATAGGAAATGAAAATGCAAAAATTATGTGATGGGTAGTGTTACTGAGAAGAGAGAAATTAGACTATGGGAGTTTTACAAGTTTAAATTATCAGCTTTCTTCTATAGAAAATTTAATGAGCAACTTTTGAATAGATACTTGGGTTACTACTATTTTTAAAAAATCTGATTGAACACAGGGACTTATGCATGTTAAACTTTGCTGTACCATTTAGCTGTGTACTAAACTCCTTAACATTGTTGCTACAACCAGAATCAGACCCAGTTTTTGTTCAAGAAACATTATACAAGTAAAATCTATATTATATTATGTATGCAAATGTGTCTATGTTTGTGTATATTTTCTAGGTGAAAGCACTCAGTAGGCAAGGACTTCTGTATTTTGCATTTTTTTTAAGTCATGAGGACATAGGTATCTAACTTGAAACCATAAAAATTCATATGTTAAAAACTTATTAGAAACTAGAAAGATTCAGTTTCTGTTACAAAGAAACTAACAGATGCCGTGTAAATATTTTGACTCAATAGAGTGAAACCAAATTTTGCAGTATATATACTTTTGGATATCATAGTCTGTACGGGGAATACTAAATTAGTGATAGATGCACAGTTTGGAAAAGTACCAAGTGTATAACACTTTTAATATCATCTATTATAAATACAGTTTCGAGTATTCATATCAGCTTTAATATACATCTAGAAGCATTCTCTGAGAAGATATAGGAATTCAATTGAAGTAGAATTCATTATTCACCAGTAGTTATGTGGCATCTGAAATAGAGTGATGAATTCTTACTTTAACTTTGGCTTATATATAGTTATATTTGAAACTGTTTTCTGACAGCAGACGCATTAGCCAAACTCTGGCATGTTTGAATGAAAAACATTTTGGTTATGGTAATACTTTTATTTATTTGTTTTCTTCTCCATCAGAGATTATTATAGGGCATATACTGGATAAAACAAGAAATTACTTTTTGGCCTCAAATATATAATCTTCAAATTTCTTTTTAGGTTGTCATTAGAAACTTGCTTTGTAACCCCGAGTGGAAGCATTTGATGTGTTACCATTTTCATTGTTCTGAGCTGTTTATATCTCAGCAGGAATAATGACATGAATAATTTGACTGTTGAGATGTGAAATCAGAGGGAACACTTGTCAAGGTTTTTTCAGCAAAATTAAATGTTACTAATTTAAAGTGAGTCAGAGTAATATTTTTATGCATATTATTTATTCCATGGCTTAAATTTAGATCATTTGATATACATTTTTACAATTGGCTCACTTCTGCATCATTAAACCCTATTATCAAATAATATTATTAAGCTTCTGCTCATAGATTCAGAATTACTTCTATAAAATAGCAGTTAAGGAAGAAGCATATATCCCTTCCATAAAAACTAATGCATAGCTCTTCTGCCAAACACTTGCATGTGTCTAATGAACACAAATATACCATTTCTACATTACTTCCAGTCATTTGACTCATTTCTTTCTGCCAGTTCTAATTCTAAAAATCTACATGAAATTTTAAAGTTACTTTAAATCATTAACAGACACATTAAGAAACAGATGTATTGCATATTGAATTTTTATGATCTACTTTAGATCAACTGCTTTTAAATTTATTTAGTGTGAGGAAGATGTGGAACTTAAAGTTAGACATTTTAATAAAAGAAATCTGTGCAAAGTATTACAAAGGAACTGATTGTTGAAAGGAAATGCAGAGAAACAGGAAGTCAGAATAAAAATTGGAAATAACCGGGGAGATTATGTAAGTGTATAAACTGCTACTCGGGATAACAGTATACTCCAATGTTTGAGTCTTTTTTGCCTCAGTTCCAAGTCAAGAGTTCCGTTATCAAAAAGGTGTACTCTTGAAGTTAATGATTTTGTTGCTAAATCTGTTTTCTCCCCCACGCTGTATAATATCTGCTTTTCAGCTCATGGGTGGGGTCACCAGATGGTACACCAAAAACAAAAATTTGTGAAACTAACTCAGTTTTGTTCCTTTGTGGCTATGAAATGTGGTTGTGATGATTAATACTAATATCTACATATAGGTACACTACATCTTTTATCTAGTCATATTTATTCTGTTGTTCTCTATTAAGAGGAAACAAAAGTTAAATTCATCTTTTCTTAGTGAGTTTAGGGAATTAAAAGTTAGTTATTTACAGATTCCTTAGTCTCTTAGAGAAAACTAAGTAATATTTCTCAAATTGCTTATTTTAATAATGTACCTGTGATAAATCTATAATGAGCTATTACTCTTTAATTATAAAGACCAAATTAACTTTACCTATCAATAGTAGGCAAAATAGGATCTTACATATACTTATTTATTCATACATTTGTTTCCAAATGCTTCCATAAGTCTTATTCTTTTTATTATAAACTTACTCTCTAAAATAAGGTTTAATTGTTTTTTTTTCTTTTCTTTTTTTTTTTTTTTTGGCTTTCATTGCCTGTCACATCAAAGATGTCTGTAAGAATCTTCTTCCTGAAAAAAGGAAAAGAAGACAAGAAGTTGACCTTTGGGTGACAAGTTTATGATTATGAAGGAACTGCTTTGCAACTCTGTGTCCCTGTTTCACTCTATTTAAACATTCTGTGGCATTTCTGATGATTGTTGAACCTGAATTATGTATAAGCATAACTCATTGTCTGAAACCATTTGTTTCTAGGTAAACAGGATTATAAAAAAACCAAACCTATTTTACGAGCAACCAAATTAAAAGCAGAAGCTAAGAAAACAGCGATAGGCATAAAGGTAGGCCTCTACTCGATAACTTTGTCATTTGATATGTGTATGCCATTTCATTTTCTAAAACTGGGTTGCATAAATGTTAAACTCTAAATGCTTTTTGACATTTCAAGGTCTAAATAGAATGCTAGAAATGACGGGTTTTGAAAAGAATTTACTTAATGGAAAATATCTTTTCTATGCTGAGGTTAAGGGACTTTAAAATAAAACAATGTTACTTATGAAAGTTAGTCATAGCTAAAGTCATAATTTGTTTTTTCTACTACTACTGTTTATATTGCTCAAACGTTTCAATAAATGTATGTGGTCTTGTCAAATTATTTCATTTCAATAAATTTCATCTTATATAAATTATAGTTGTAATTATATATACTTAGATCATTAATACATGCAATTTGACTGTTTCATATTGTTGCTTATGAAATTCTAATGATATCCCAAACTTGTCCTTTTAGAAAACAAGCATTTATATACTTAAAAAGGATAAATGCAACCGAGATTGATATTAACAGATAATTCACTGTGCTTGTTCACTAAAGTTTTCAAAATGACATTTACGTTATTACCCATGTCATCTTTTTGGCAAGTATTTAGAATTTAAGTAAACTAAGTAGAAAAATGAGATTGGCAGCTCTGCTACAATATGTGTAAAATAAAAAAGACCAGTACATATATTTTATATTAAATATTAAAATGTGAAAAGGAGATTTTGTTGATGAAAAATCAATTTTTCTAAGTTAGAGCTTACAGCAAATGCCAAGGTATTACTACGAAGCTGTAACAGCTGCTGGATTGCCAGATGATATATTTGGTTGCCTTCCAAAATTTGCTATTATGATCATGAAACACTGCCTTCTTTCTGCCTCCAAATGCTGATTTTGATCAAGCATTGCTGAGTGACGTGGTGTGTTTTCACAACACAATCTCCTCAGTGAGTGTTGTGTGTCAGTTTTAATGAAAAAAATTAAATTACCTTTCTGTTTGAAAGAGAGACTAATCTTTGGAAGATTCGTTCATAAGCTCATGTGAAATTTTGTTCATCTTTCAAAATATTTCAATGACATGTCAAAAAGATGCTCAGTTTTTATTTTTCATTCAGTTACCTACTTATTGTCTCTTATAATCAGAGCATTTTTTGTCATTGTCCTCCAAGGCAATTTATTACTTAATTTTATCTTTCAGAGTATGGTGAATTTTCTGTTTCTTTAATAAGCAGTTCTATATTAGAATGTGAAAAATAATGTAGTCATTCATTTGTTTATATAACACCCTTTCCACACATTGTTTATTTGCTCTTATACTTTCTGTTATGGTTTCCATTTATAAAGATAACCATGTTCCCAGTATGAAATAGAATTTACCTTAGAGTGCAGTTATCTAACTTCTCTTTAAAAACAATGTAGAATGTATTCTTAATTTATATTTTTATGAGTTTTTTCGTGTAGTTCCTTTACAATTTGAGCTCTATACAGAAAAGTTTTGAATTGATATCAGAACCAAGCTCTTTTTTAATAAGTTAGCACACAATTTTGATTTGTAAGCTTGTGGAAAAAAAAGACCTTGACTTTAAATATTGTTTACTTTGCTTGAAAATTTATGTGAAGAGCCCATTAAGATGAGAAACTTTTAGAATCAGAACCATGAGGTGTTTTACATTTCAAATCTGGCATACTAATTAGTTTGCCCTGTCAAACTTTGATTGCCTTGTCATTTTGGCATAGGACTTTAAATAATGAAATTTCTTTCTGCAATTGCCATTTAATGCTTTTTAATTTCCCCAGTGAGTGATTTTATCCATATTGATAATGCCAGAGAAGCAACCAAGGACTAATGAACATCAAATATATTTGACTCTTATCTAGTTGATAGAGAATGACCATAATAGAGGACAATTTTATCACTTTACTTCTTATTCTTTTGAATGAATCATAGTTACACTGTGCAAGTAATTTAAATGTGCAGAGACTATGAACAGGTGCACGGAATGGAAAAATAACACCAGGAAACAACTCTGAACATATGATGAGGAGGCCAAGGGTCACATCCCTTTTGACTCTTGCTTTTGCCAGGGTATCCCTGAAGTCTACACTGCCACATTTGTAAAATGGAGATTATCCCATTTACCTGGAATAATAACCCATAACATGGTCAGGAAACAAAAATAATGCAGTGAAAGCATTGAATTTTGAACTTAGCATGTAGAAGTCATTATGAGTTGTTAACTGATCCAAAAAATGTTTGTTGTAATTTCTTGTTAGTATAGATAAGATTTCCCCCAAGTATTTGTCAATGGCTTTCCCTTGTGTAGTTACTTTTGTATTGTTTGTCTGTGTTATATATTACAAAATGTTCTCAGATTTCTGTAGGGATAGAATCATGGACACAAAGTTTTAAAAACATTATATAATTTTAAAATGTTTTGTATAGAGATCATATTAATATTACTCAATCTATTATTTACTTAGAAATTACTGTATTATAATACAGTAGAATCTATAGAAAGAATGAGCCAGACATGATTGTTCCAGAAGAACTTATACAAGAAACACTTTCAGATTTAATTAACCATCTTAAATCAACAATGCACTTGAGAAACCACACGCTAGAGAAATGAATAGTTTATACAATAGGATCGTCAAAGTTTTCCAGTGTTTTTTTAAATGTAGGTTTAGGAATAGAACATATCTGAGGGTAACAGTAAGTGATTCCACGATAAGATATAAATAAATTTTATTAAATATAGACAATTTCTAATCGAAATGTTTTTATTTCTTGTGTTTTACAAATATAATGTCATACTTTATGACATACTAATGTAATAAGTGTCACTTAAGAAACATGTGCAGAGCAAAGTTTGCTGTTTTGTTGCTGTTCAATTAGATTCTTTTGTGAGAATTACCGCATGACTGAATTGTTCAAGAAGGCAAATATATGTGTTTCTCAGCATTTGAAAGGTAAATGATGTGCATTTGTTAGTTTATTTTTAAAAGGCCAATTTTAAAGACACAAAAAAGGAATTAAGACCTAAAACTTACTTTTCTTACATAAATTAAGAATTCTACCTTAATCAGATCCTGCCAACAACCACTTGGGATGTTTGTTCTTTTTTTGTTGTTTCTGATTTAATGCTAAAAATTGCCCAGGGACAGAGCAACATAAATGCCTACAGGTGTCTAAATTATGGTTAGTGTCACCAGCATCCTGAAAATTTTATTTTCAGAATTTACCATTGTTTGAATACTATGAACATTCAGCCTCCCCAGTACTTGTCACCAGAATAGGGACATTTTGAAGAACATTATTTGCTACACCTCTCCATCTGATGTTTACATAAGTCATCCTCATACCACCTCCTATATTAAACAGGTAACTGGATAATGGACAGGCCAAACTGTATTCCATGAATATTCCTTTTATTTTGCCCTTAAAATTATTTTCATACCTATGGATATAATAAGAGTGTACAAAGATACGTTCCGATTATGACACAGAGTTGCTTTAAGAACAAGAAATTGAACAGCAGCAATTAAAGTCGATTATCAGTAAGACTAGAAGCATGGTCTCCAATCAAGAATAAAAACTTCATTTTTGCATTAAGCTTGGGTGGATGCCTACTGCTGTTGATCAGTTTTGTTGTCCACTCTACAGAACAGATGGAGTTTGCAGTTGTGTGTCACTTGTTTATTACATCCTCTTAAAATTAGTAGCTGAGTAACCAGATGGGTCTGGGAGCACAGCTGTGGATATAAGAAAATAAATGAAACCTGTCCGACGCTGCCAGGCCCTTTTGAGATGCCAAAGTGTTTCAACTGTAACAAAGAAAAATTCACTTTCATTTGACATTATATTGTTATATTAGATTTGAAAAATCAGGTCTTACAAATATTGTTGACACAGTTTTAGAACCCCATAGTTCTATTAATAGTTATTTTTATAGTCTGGTAGCTAAATAAACTGAATTACAAAGTTAAAGAATTTCGATCAAATATATATTTTTAATTTCAATGTTGAGGTAAAAATTCCATGTTGAGCATAAACCAAGTTTATTTTAATGTTTTTAAAGTTTATTAGGTGGCATATGTTGAATAATTTATTTTCCATTCTTATGAAGTATAAAATATATTAACATGACTGCAAATAATTGCTTCCTTGTAAAGCGATGCCAAATAAGTTATACACACGTGATCAAAAAGTGAAATTAAGCATTGTCAAATACAGAACAGATAAACAGTATAGGTGCTGACTACATTGCTTTCATCTAACGTTTTTGCACCCAAACTTAAAATACATTAAAGCAACAAATTTCAAATTTACTATTAGGAAAAAAAAACACTGAATCAACTAAAAGTATAATAGGAATGACACTGATGTACTTGCAATTTCAATGAGTAATGTGTGCAAAACACATTTACTTAATGGCAAAACGTATAAAACAAAAAAGAGTGGAATTATTTGTTTCAGATTATTCACTCTGTCTATACTGAAGAATAATATGGTTGTTTTATCTGATGATACTGATGATAATATACAGTCTTCATCAATTTAAAGTCTCCTTTTCTTTCTTTCCCAGGAAGTTGGCCTTGTGCTTGCAGCTATCCTGGCCCTCCTGCTGGCTCTCTATGCTTACTTTTATCTCAGAATGTCCACTGATGTTGACCCTGATCTGGACCCAAATGAAGATTACCTGGGCAATAATGAAGAATAATAGTTTTATAAAAGCACCTTTTGGTACCAGTGCTTTCTGAAGTAATAAAACTACAACATGTTGAATGTTTTATTCTGGTACTTTCCGTTTCCAGAAATGTCTTTTTAAGTAATTGTATAGGACATCAAGAAAAGAACTTCACCTGGCAATGTATGCTACCAGATACTTTTACAAATCTCTCTACTTTGACAAGTACCCTGTCTATGATGCATTTAGATAAGACGAGTAACTGATCCTAAATTCTTCAGATTTCTTACCCATTGTGTGGGTATAACTCCTTCACATACAGATACAAAATGTAGTTTTGTTCTATATACATTGTAAGTAAAAGTACAGAGCTTAGAAGCTCACATTCAGAGCTAAGAAGGAGCAAAAATGTTTTATTTCACAAAGAAACCCTGCTTTCTTTCCAGACATATTTTGCATCATTAGTGAGACTCTCCACACATGCATCTACGGTAATCTTGTTCCTTCTTTGCCAACTGTTCAGTGCACATGTGCTTTGTCAGAAATGGCACCTGGATAACAGAAGCTCTAAGAGTCACATATGTCTCTTAAATAGAGTCCCTTTCCTCTTGTGCTGTCTGAACTGGTGTAAATGGAAAGTTCAGTTGATCTTGATTTTAATTAACCTATTACTCTATTAATACAAACTTGGAATTCTATTTTAATTATGTTGTTCTGGATGCCTACAGTATCAGTTTGCCCCTCTTGTTAGGGAGACACATAGCAATCTGTCATTTAACTGTGCAGTCTTTTTCACAGCAGAGAAATAGCAGAAGTCTTACCTCCAATCATTTCCTTAAATTAGGCCCCAAATCTGAAAAATACAAAGTTGGTTGGAAAATTACATTTTGTTTCTTAAGAGTTAATCCATTAGAGCTCTTTAAACTAGAGAAATAAATAATAGAAGAAAATATATGTTTTCTATTACTCTCATATTTAGTTTTCTGTTCATATAGTTTTCCATGTATTTTGCCTTTGCTGTAGCATAATGACCAGGAAACTAAATATTTTTATTGATAATTAAATTTTAGTAGATTTTAAAAACATGAATACATAAAAATTAGAAAATTGGAAAATATCTTTCCAAAGAATGTTTACGTATTTCACTCATACAAATGTATAGAAAATGGTTTGAAATATATGTACAAAGAAACATTTTATAATGTATATATTGTATGCATGAAGAACAAAATACAATATTGATTGTTTCCATATTGGCCAAGGGACAGAGCTTTGCTAAAGACCCCAGAAGTGTATGGGGCTTAATAAACACAGTGTTTTTTTTTAAAGTATATTCTTTGGTACTTTTGCAAAAAGTTGAAGTTGATAGTGTAGTGCAACATTGTGTCCTTTTTTAAGTAGCATAATTTATTTCTTCAGTGTGAAAACAGCCAAAGATTCCAATTTCCTTAGAGATTATCTGTGCCAAACATCTGAGGGCAAATTTAACCAGTGTTATTTACTGGATTCTTCCTCTTGAACTCACAAACTCAAGAGACAGATAAAGAGTTCTTATGTGCTCACCACAGTGGACCAATCCAAGTGGCATTTTTAGGAAAGGTTGCAGCATTTTATGCCATGTGGTATGTCTGTTCGCAAAGTGGGAGGCAAGGGAATATCCAAGCTGGCATTTTGGATATGATGGGCCTTTTACTTTCCTGAGTGACACGCCACATGTCAAGAAATACTGCTTTCCTCCACTCCTATCGCATTTACGTGAACAATTTTCATTTAGTTATTTCCCTCCCATATGGTGTTAAAAACAGTCATATTAAATAAAGATTACTTCTGGTTTTCAGTGATAATTTAAATAAGAGGCTGTTTGATAATTGCTTATTAGATGCCTATCCAAGTGAGATAGTAACAAAGTTTACAGTATATAAAATAGATGACAATACTTTTGGAAATGCTTGAAAATTATCATTCTGAAAAAATCCTCATCATTTTGTTCTACTTGTGAGGTGTTCTTTGGTGGGAAAACGTTGTTGATAGTAATAAATATTAATCTAAATATAGCATAATTATAAGCAGGTTTCATTGCCTAGTTTTATTAATATACTCAGCCTGTACGTAGTCCATTTGTATAACGGATTGATTTCTAATAGCCCCAGAGAACCATAAATCCCAAAGGCCTAAATCTTTAATTTGATTTAACTAATTAGCAGGTTAAGTGAGACCACACAGTATATATTTGGACACTGTTTTTGTGAATTTCGAATTTTGTGAACTCACATTAACTGGGAAGCAGCCAATCCTGTGAAGATAAATCCCAGGTTGAAAGTCTGGTTTGAATCTTTGAAGAAAGAAAGGTGATATCTTTGTGCTGTTTCAGGGGACTACACTTTTGAATAGTGAGTAGTGCTTGGCATAAATCTGAGACTGGCACTAGCCAAATATTAGACATGGCTATTTCCCCTACTGTAAGCAGAAGACAAAACCAGAAAAAATTATGATGACTTTTCAGAATGTTCGAACCAACTTGTTCACATATGCTGCAAAATAAATTTCTAACTTAAGAGATTTAAAATATAGCCTATGGGATACTGGAATACTATAAACGAAGTATGAAGGGTTGCTGCTTCTTATTTTGCGTTCAAGTCTAGACTAGGGTAAGAATACATAAATTTATTTGAAGGGAGATATTATAAAAATATAATATCTAATATTTCTTTTGAGACAAACAAAAATCCTATTTTAGTACAAATACAAGATTAATTGGTTTAAGGGAACAAAAATAATTCAAACTCCTCTTCAAATTTTTCGCAAAGACAGAAGAAATACTCTTAACAGTGATTATAAAATGCTGAGGGTATGTTCTTACTTATTTCTATCATTCCAATTGTGCAGTAATCTGCATATAAATATAATATATGCCTGTTAAAATTAAAGTTAATATATTTTAGCTCTCTCAGAGTCTGGAAAAATTCTTTCCATATAGTAGATGATCAAAACTTCCTTAAATTTAATAAGTAAAATAAGCATCACAGTATTGATAAACTCAGCATTTAGCATTCATGGTCATTGGTTTTTGCTTCATCCTACTTCTCTTGAAGATTAACGAAATTAGTGTCAAGTTTGGTACAAAATAGAAACATTAACTTCTAGAAAATCAAGTATGTGTGTTTATTTGAAATCATACTTAGTGGCTAAGTTCAATTTAGCATATGTCTTCACTTCCAAAGACTAAATTTTTTTTCATAACGTTTATATGAATAGCAGTGCACTTAATTTTTCCAGATTCTAAAATATAGTGAATGACAAGTCCAGAAAGGGAACTGTGCTTGAGATAAGCTTTAGAAATAAACTTTTAGAAATTAAACTTATCCAATTTTAAGGTATTTCCTCCAAAACATGCTTTTTCCGCCGCAGACTACCTACAATCATTTCATGTTCTCTGTTTAACAACAAATAGACTTTTCACTTACCTGGGACTTCTCCGGGACGATTCCTACAATTTCTCCCTGAACAGCATTGCTTTCTCTTATTAGAAATGGTCCAATGCAGCCTGGATAGAATGATTTTTTTTTCCCACTGACACTATATCTAGAATCAGTACAACCCACAATAAAAAAAAATTTTTTTTTAAAGTAGCAGATGAAGTCAGTATCTACAAAAACATTCTTACACTCTTACCATTTTGTTCAGGGTAATATAGGTGAGTATAGAGGGAACCGGGAGAGTCATGTAAAGAACTACACCAGTGTGGAAAAGCCCCTGGTGGATCAGTAAGTTACTTAAAACAATTGAACTGCAGCCGTATTCAGTGTACTGCCTCCTCGTTATACATTTTTTTTTAATCCCTAGGAACGGATATGGATCCTCATTTCATGAAAAAAAAATAAGATACTCTACATGCCAGAAGATTTTTTGATGACAGTACCCCTCCTATTCTTCATCTTTTAAAACAACAACCAAATTGGTGGGGAGGCAGCCAAAATTTGAGGTACCAATGCTTCTCGAACAGATGTCGCACCATTATTTTTTAGCTCGTTTAGATGAATAAACATGTTAAACTGTGAAGTATTACATTTTAGATTTTTTCATTAAAAAAAGAGACAATCTGTTTACTGTCCTAATTGAGACAACAATCCTTGTGGTTGCCAGTTTTGGCAGTCATAACAATGAACTATAAATATTTGGACCAATCAAGTAAATGGTGACTATAAAGGCTATACCATGTGTAGAGTTCTGTTTTCATGGGCACCCATCTTAGTATGGCATTTTTTCCCCCCTGACTTCTTCAAATACAATTGTTTGTGTGAAACTGAAGTTTCATTGTAAGCCTAAGAGAAATTGATTTCAATATCTAATTTCTGTCTAGTTCATCATCCTTTTTAGTGTTCAACTATCCATCTGCTTGTAGCAAATTGCTTCTTTAGTTGCGCTGTGGAATGTAAGGCTGCTTCTTCACTGGTTTGCCTTCTCCGTACTTCCTAGAATAACATAAAATTCAGAGGTGGTGTCTCTTTTTAAGCTTTTAAAAAAATATTTACAGTATGATTTTAACAGTATTTTAAATCTTTTACATTGTAACGCTTAGTTTTGTAAAATAAGGTTTTTTAAATAAACGGGGGTGGTTGCAACATTTGTCGTAATGATGAGCGGCCCACCGAAATCTTAGCCCCTACAAGCATGCTTCGCTCGAAATATCACTGGCAGCGAGTTGACAGACTAAGTAACAAGAAATAACCCATACCTAAAAAATGATTTCCAAACATCTGGGAACCAAAAAGGGAGTGTTTTTCTAGACATCTGTATGAGTGCTTCATCTCCCTCCTCCAGTTCTTCTACCTTAGTCTGAGTTGGCAGTCTAACATTCCCTGTCGGTTAGCTCGGACCTCACTTCTCCACTTTCGAGGGCTAGCACGCGCTCATATTTCATTGTGTTCTCAGTGTATTAGCTCCCTCTACTCTTACAGTTATCCCTGATCCTTACCTAAGTTGCAGTCTTTTATTTCTTACCCGATTTCATTTTTATTGCTAATCTTATGCATCACACAAAAATAGAGACAATAATAATACGAACTTCAATATGCTTATCACTTAGTTTTACATTTATCATGTTTTGTCACTCTTCTGCGAGTTTTCTCCATTTTTTGGGCTGAAGTATTTATAGTCTGGATATGGTGATATTTTACATGCAAATTAAAGAGTATGTCGGTCTAACTGACAAAAATGCTGTTTTTATTTATTTGCTGTTATATGTATTACCAAAACTCCGTTATTATAACTAATATAATTATGTATTATCTATTAATATTGCAGAAGTCAATATTCAAATTTTAATTGTCTCCAGATGTCTGTTTACAATAGATTTTGAATCAAAACCCATACTCCATTTGTTTAACTCTTAAATTTTATTTTTTACTCTATAACTCATCTTTATTTCATGCCTTTGATTTACAGGTCCTTTTGAATATCCAGTATTCTAGGTTTGCTCTTTTTCAATACTTATTCAGTTTATTCCCTTATTTTTATATTTTCTATAAATTAATATTTAAAGCTTTGGCTAGATTAGATCCAGGCAGTCCTTTGTTCTTGTTATTTTTTTTCTTTCTGTTTTTTGTGGTTAGGCCAAGAGTATTTCTTAGTACTTAATGATAAATATAATATCAATGTTGCTCGCTTGTAATTCGGTGAGTTATCAATGGGTTTGTGTGCTCGAATCCTTATTCCCTCCGGAACAATGTCTTCTAATAATTAATCTGGGGCTCTCAGCATCCATTCATAATTGTTTCTTAGATGTTTTATCTCATTAGACATTGCAAGCATTTCTTCAGCATTTAATAAGTGGAATTATTTATTATTATTGTTATTGAAACATGTTTATATCTTTATGGAATAGGGTGTGATAATTGATACATGTAGATAACATGCAATTATCAAATCTGGGAAATGAGCTCTTCTGTCTCACACATTAATCGTTTCAGTATGCTGAGGTCTTCTGATTATTTTGAAATACAGCATAGATAATTATAACTAGTCATTGCCCTATTTTGCTTTTAAAAACCAGGACTGATTCATCCTTGCTGTGCTTCCGTGATCCTCAGCTAACTTCTTGGCTTCCTTCCTTTCCCTTCCTCTAGAAGCCGCTATTTCATCCCATTCATGTAGATTTAAAAACATTTTTTATCAACTATTTGATTGAGTAAAAATATAGCTCATAAGGAAAGGAAAGATAAATACTTGTCTTCCTTCTGACTCCTCTCTGAGTTAGGAATTAACCATAAGAGTAGCCAAAGAAGATTTCCATTGCTGACATTGTGGATGCTTGTATTGTCATTATAAGTTGTGGATTTTATGTAATTTATATTTTCAGCCCATTGCCATGATCATTTTTAGTACTGAAATGAGAATTCTATTATCAAGTTTAATGTTAGAAATATTCTCACTAAAATTAAGCATGTTTTTTTATTAGTTTAGGTTTTTCTGGAATTGATAACCAGTACAATCAGATTTTTAAAACATGCATAAGTGGTAAATATGGCAAAAATGGAAAAAAAAACTAACATTTGAAGATTATGTAGTTTGACTGGAAAACTAAAAATATTGAATGAGAAATGTAGCATGCTCTTTTAGAGAAAAGTATGTTAATTTTTTAGGTTTATCTATATACGTCAATTATAGAAATTAGTTAAATATAATTGAAAAGAATCTTTCACAACTGCAATTAAAATTATGGACTATGTAGAAAACATTTTTTAAAATGTGATGAGTTTTCATTTAAAACATGCTACACAAAATGCCAGATGTAGAGGCACACACCTCTATGAGAAGTGCTCTGGGAGGCTGAGGCAAGAAGAGCACCCATTCAAGCCTAGCCTGGGCAAATTAGCAAATTAGTGAAAGCCTATCTCAAAATACAATACAAAAAATAAAAAGACCTGGAGATGTAGTTCAGTGTGAAGACTTTGGGTTCAATTCCCAGTATTGAAAAAAAATAATAAATAAAAGGAACAAAATGAATCTTTACTACTAATTTTTAAAAGTTTAGTAGATTTCCTACATGGGAAGATTCAGTTGTACAGATACATATTTTACTATGTTTTAGGAATGGAAATGGGATCTTTAATATATAAAATATTAAAGTATATTATCAAGTTTTAAAAATATAAGTTGTATCATAGTCGAGGAAAAAGCAGACAGATCTATGGGCAAAATGCTATGTCTAGAATTTGGTCTAATTATAAACATTTACTTAATGCACAGCATGTCACAAAGACAAAAAGTTAGATTATTTATTAAATATATTGTAATATTTGAATGTCCTTTCAAGCAAGAGTAATTTCTGATGAATATTCTCTGAGTACGTAGTGCAAGTGACTGTAACTTTTTCATATTTAGAGAATCCTTCAGACTCAGCTCTACAGGGAAGTTGAGAAAGTAAATGTTTTGCTGAGGTGCATCGAGTCCAAATACTTAGTAGATATGTATCTCTGTTTTGTTCATTGTACTTCCCTATGTTTCATTTATTAAAAATTATTAAGCACCTATTTCTGTTTTTTAACAGCAAGAAATTGAACAACACTTAAGATAGGAACTATGTATGTTAATCCATTGTTATTCAGAATATTTAATGAGCATGTGCTAAATGCTAGTCACTACCCTTTCGCTTGCAACAAATCAGTGAACATTAAAACACAGGAATGAAGTATTTCTTTCTCAGAATACAGTCTTGAAAGATGGTGATGTTTTCATCAAACAGGAAAAAACAAAAAGGTAGAAGGTGTTCCATGTGAGGGGAAAAGCAATATGAGAGTACAGAGCCGTAATAATGCTTAGCCTCTTCCAGCTGGGGTCTGGAATAGGGCATATATGTGGCCTACTGGGGTGGGCAGATTGTTTGCTAATGTCCCTTATGTGCACTGTTGCTTTCTTTGCCTCAAACTATTTTCTCTTGTTTAATCTGAAAAATTCCTACATTATCTGTGTTTTAAGACTCATCCATTCCCAGATTTATCTGGGTCTCCACAACCTCCAAGGTTAAGTTATTCTTCTCTATGTCTTTCATAGAATTTACTCCACAGTAATTATCCATTTATGTTACTGATTGTCCCACTTGACTTTGAAGTTCTTAAGAAAGAAACTCTGAGTTTTATTGCTGCATCTCAAATCCTAAGCCATATTCCAAACTGATATTCTGTACATAGTGAATATTTTTGAATAAGTACTACACCTCATTGCCCACAACAGGATTTCTCAGTGTTAGTTTTACTGGCATTTGGGGCCAGATAAGTCTGCATTATAGGATGGTTAGCAGGATTCTTCAATGCTACTGTGCATCTAGGTGCCCGCAGCAGTTTTGCAAGCCAGTTTTGACAACCCAGAAGGGTCTGTAAATGTTGTTAAATGTTGCCCCTGAGATCAGCACTGTGTCCCCAAAACGTGGAGAACCATAGTTTAGGACTTTGAAAACTGAATTCTAATGAGTATGGTGTGGAAAGCGTGGAATGGGATTTTGAGTCTTTTATCAGAGGCATTGTATTTTAACTCCAAGCATTCTTAATTCTACATTAATTCTTGGACTCAGGTCCTATACCATGATGTTTATGTTGGGTGGGGGGCATCACAGGTAGAAAAGAAAGATGTCTGCACTTGGCACACCTGGATGCCCCCTTCCCACTGATGGTACCACAACTTAGCTTTGTGCTCAGAGGAAATGAAGACTTTATGATGTTAAATTTTATCAGGTAAATAAGATAGGGATTTTTGTTTTCTGAGAAGTTCTCAGCACACTCTAAACAAAACTCCTAAAGGAAAAAATGATTTTTAAAAATAGTATATGGCTTTCTTACACTTCTTTTATAAATTATCAAAACATCGTTCAGTGCAGCCAAAGAAATATCATACATAGGTAGCTCAATAATAATCTTAGAAACATTTAATTCTTTGAAAATATCTTAGAACTCTTCTATCTAAACACTTTTTCAAGGATGCATCAATAATGTCTAACATCTATTTTCCCTTTATTCCTTGAAGTGAGGTTATTTATTTTTTTAAATTCATATTTATATGTTGTTGAAATAATAGTAATAAAATGAATACCCTTGTACCCCTTGGCCAATACCAACAAGTGGTACAGCTAGGCTATTTTAATTTTGTCCATTTTAAACTATGTGTAAAAGTATTCCTGAATTTTTACTTTCCTGATTACCATTGAAGTTAAATATCTTTTTATATACCTTTCTATCCATACTGTATATTTTCTCTCCATTAAAGGTCTGTTCATGTTTTTTCCTCACTTAGAGTTTTTGGCATTTTTCTTAGAAATGATAATTCTTTTTCTTCTTTTTTTTTTTTTTTTAACCAGGGATTGAACTCGGGACCTTGTGCTTGTGAGGCAGGTAGTGGAACCACTGATCTAAATCCTTGGCCTTCATTTTTAATATATTGAGATACTAATATTTATTGATTACGTGTGTGTATTTTTGTTTCAAGTATGTAATTATGATTTCTGTCTTATACTTTTCCTTTCTTTGAGGTATCTATTGTTAAACAAACAGTTCTTGATTTTAATGTGTCCAAACACAAATTTTCTAGTTTTTAGGACTTATTGAGACTTAAATCAAACCTTCTTGTCCCAGGGTCATGAAAATATTTTCCTAAATATTTTACATTTTTCTCTTACATTTAAGGCTTTAATCTCCCCTAGAATTGATTTTTGTAACTGGTTTGAAATTTATTGTTTTTCCTTTTGCCAAATATCATCTTTTCAATGAGACCATCCTTAAACACTCAAAGTTAAATTGCGATTCCCTCATGCACTGAAACATCAAATTTTGCCTGCCTTTAATTTTCTCCCAAGCATTCTTTACCTCCTGTCATATTTATACATCAGTTCTGTATGTATTGTTCTGTTACTAATTATAGAGTTGCTCCTAACTTTTGCCATGTAAGGCAAAAAAAAAAAAAAAGCAGTTGCTCATATCTGGACTGCATTAAAGATTATCCATTTGTTCTGCTTTATTAATTTATATATTTCATTGTCTATTTCTTTGCCAGGATCGCATTATCTTGATATCTGTACTTGTATCATTAATTTGGTTGTGTAGGGCTCGTTCACTACCTGTTCT